GGGAAAAAAAAAAAAAAAAAAATATCCATCAACCACGCAACTTCTAAAAGGTTCTATCTCGATAAATACCTCGTTCACGAATGAGTAGTTTTTACGTAACGTAAACTCGCAGGATGCATCGAATTATGAATTTAGCATGGCTGTTAATAACTCTCGTGTCGCTTTAAAACCGATACTCGATAGATCGATCCGATTAAACCGCGAAACGTTCGCGTATATCGTTTCTTCGCGTATTCTGTTTCCGTAATAATTAGCGTTTTTAATCTACGTGTATGTTTTCCCCCTTTTTTTTTTAACTTTTTCTCTTCTCCCTGCTGGAAAAATGGTGCATTGCTCCTCGAATCTCGTTACATTGTTCACTGGAACAAAAGGAGATCGAGATACCAGATCAAGGTCCATTCATTTCTCGCAGTATTTTCTCTATCCGTGCACGTGTGCTCTACGATACTCGAGTGTGTAATGGAATTTTTTTATAAAAAATTCTTCCTCGTTCTCTTGGTTTTTGTTTTTGTTTCTTCCACGTTAGGCATAATAATGTTTTTTTTACCATCGTTCAAGAATAAGAGTTTAATCAAAGCTTCGATTAAATGTAATCGAAATTTAAAACGAGGAAAACTTCTTCTTTTTTTTTTTTTTTAAGAAAATTCGTTTCGATATTCGTCGTCAAAAATTTCTCATTCATCGCGTCATTCATCTCGATTTTTAAACCAAAATTTTATTTATTCGAATCGATTATTCTTTTTCTTTTTCGTTAATTTTTAAACTGAAATGAATGATTCTAATATTGTTCTTATTGAAAAATGAATAAATGTATTCTGAGTTTTTGCTTGGGCCAAGAATTTCGATCAACATATCGATCCGTGGAGGATTCATGTTCGAGATAGGTAGCAATTTACAGTGGTGATACGAGGCGATCGATTCTTTGGGTAAAGTTCACTGCTACGTGTATTATTAAAGCTGATCAGAAGTTCAATCGTTGTCGTAGTCGAGTCAATCGTGTTTTGTCGTATTAAATGTGCATCGACAGAGAAAATAGTTTGACCAAAATTAGGCGTGTGATAAATTTGAAGTAATATTATAGACTTTGATAGTATTAAAGAGAATCCTTGTGTCATAGAAGAGGATCAATTGCAAATAATTTTTAAATTTATCGCTTCCATTTTACGTATATTTTTCAATATAATTTTTATAACAATATAATCTTCGTTAGATTCAATTAGAAACGTTATAAATAAAAGAAAATAATTATTAGGATTTTTTTTTAAGACTCTCTTTAAAACTCTTGCTTCGTGTGGGATTGTTACGCATCATTCGATTGAAAAATAAAAGATGGTACATTTTCTTTGTCCAGTTCTCGACAAGTTGCTTTAAATTCCGTCTAATCTGTACTAATAACCATCGAAGAAGAAGCAAAACTAGGACAAAGTGCAGATGCAGAACGTAGTGGAAAGGTCGTGTCGATGAAAGTTCTCCATTTCCAAACTTAATGCCTCTTGACCAATTTTCACGGCTTATTATCGATGCTTCGTTTCTCCCTAAGAAGCGAGCACGTATCCTGAATTGATTTTATTTTTTTGGCGACAGATTTATTATTAATACTTGGAATCTATTCTTTATCCTCTTATTTCTGTTAGAAATTCACTTTTCATTTTGTACCATGTGGTAATTTCTTTTTTGTTGCATCAAGATTTAGAGATCAACTTGTTCAATATTTTATTTTATTTCATATTTATCGCGCACAATATTCTTTTGATATATCTTAATACAAGTCCCTTTTTTGAAATTATTTATCGTACAATAAACAATCTATAAATATACATTTGGAAATATATATATATATATAAACTTTCATTAGATCGACTGCAAACTTTTTCTCTCTTCTTTTTCTTCTCTCTTTCGAGGGAAATCGAAATTCCTCGAGCCAAAAAAATAGCGTGATAGAGGAAGAATGTATCGATCGACTCCTTTACAAATATACACAAACACCTGTTTCCATATTGTATTATTCAAATCAAAGATGGATCAACTGATCGAACTGACCGCCCATCGAATTTCCTCGTCGTCAGATTTCTTTCAAGCAACGTTTGCGTTGTGATCATAGGGAGTCACGTGCACGGAATAGCGAATAATAAAGTTTTCGTACAGGGAGCTCGAGTTTCGGTTGGTTTAGCAGTCAACCTGCCCCCTCCCTTCCCCCTCGGTGGCTGGTGGAATAGCTGAAGTTGCTTCGATTAATTCTCGTTTCTCCCCGGGCAGGAAGTTGATGGAGCGCCCACGGCATCAGTGTCTGCGTATTAAATGCTCATAAATCCGAAGCACCTGCTAGCTAAATATCCAGTCGCGAGTTGAATTTCCCAGTTTCGTTCCCGCGTAATGACCGCGTTAAGCCTGGCTCATTGTGCTTCCTCCTCCCCCTCCCCATTTTCCACGTATTCCGTGTAATTAGAACTCGACATAATGAATTTCTGCCGAATATTTTCCTCGCTTGACAATCTTTGGCTATCTTTTTCGTTTTACGTACATGGACGTATGATAAAAATTTAATACAGTTACAACTTTTATAAAAGTAGTTTATGATCTATCTTAGAAACGAAGAAGATAAACGCACGATTCGTCATCGAAACGAATATTAATTAAGTTTTGCTCGTTAATATAGAAATTTAATTTTAAAATAAATATTCGTTATCGAACTTCGAAACTTTCACTCGCGAATTTCTTTTCACGGATAGGTTTTCAGGAAAGTTTGAAATTTTCATTTTCTTCTCTCTCTTTTACTCTTCTCAATTTCGAGAATCTCTTTTCCTTTTCTCGATCAATCCCGGTTCGCTGTAAACTAAAAAGTATCCGCGTTTCTTCCCGACTGCATTCCTTCCTCTCGCGTTTTTCTTCGAAATACGAGATAATTAAACGATACACAACTTGGTACGCAACGAAAGTATATTCCATAAATAAGTATCACGCGATGAACGAAGTTCACAAGCGAAGAATTCTCCAACTTGGCTGAGATTAGATCGCGCGAATAATCTTGTGATCTATCTATCACTATCGCACGATGTTGAAAAATATCCGTCCACGAGCGCTCTCTACCATTTCTTTTATTGACTCTGTATCTTTTCTTTCAGGTAGTGAAACTGTTCACGGATCTCGAGAAGAGGAAGCAAGAGCGTTTGGGGGGAAAAAGAGGGCAGCCGCTTGTTTTCGAGGGACGGAAACGGAACTCGAAGAGTCGAAAGTAACGAAAAGTATCGAAGAAGACCAAAGTTTTGGTGAAGAGAGAATAAGAGAGAGAGAGGATGACTCGCATGCTTCTGCAAGAACCCGGATGGAAGATGGAGCGCAAGGGATCGGCGTTGCTGTTGAGGAGGGACAGCTCGCATCTGAAGAGCGGCCGCGTCTGTTTCCGGTGCGACGTCGAAGTCCGTGAATTCGAGCGTGACGAGGATTACACGATCGAGGCGGAACCGGAGGCAGCTGCCAGTCCCTTGGCAATGTGTGCCAGTTGTTTGGCGGCTCTCTGCGTGACCGTGATTCTACCGTGGCTGTTGATCGGCGGTTAAACACGCCTCGCTCAAACTCACCATCTTTGGGGAGGGGGTGGCGGGCGCGATGGTGGTTGCGTAAACCTCTGGGAAAACGGAAGTCATCCGAAGAATGAATCGTCGAAAGAAAAAAGTCGGGAGAAGAGAGGGGCTCTCCGCCCCGAGCGTGGAAAATTCGAGGGAAATCCTCGCCGAGATCGTGCATTGCGATTATGAGAAGAGGAATCAATCGATTTGAATTTTCAATCGACTCGAGAATTTTTTTCGAGTGGGGGAGGATTCGAAAATGGATGTATAGTTCCTGAAACGGTAGAGTTTCGTTTCCGATTTTTTACAAAAATCGAAAATCCCTTTAAATTCCCAACTCTTATGATTCTAGGAAATTTTCTTTCTTTCCTCGTTTTCGAAGACGAATCGAGATACGTAAACTTTCTTTGTATTCGTGCACGGTCGTGCGTGTGTAGGTGTGTGTTATTTCACTCTCTGTACTCTCGAATTTAGAACGACGAATCGTTATACCGTCGAGAGCACCGAGATAAAAGTTTTTCGCTCGTTCCTTTGAAAAAGTTTTTGAATTTTTGTTAAATCTTTCTAACTCGAAGACATATATCGTATATATATATATATCGATTATGATCCTCGAGGCCAAAGAAATGGAAGAAAAATTCCTACGTGTTTTATCTTTCGAAAGGAGAAATATTTTTCAAACGATGAACCGATTACGATTTCGTTCCAAAAGACAAGCTTTATTGCTTTATATTTATTCGTTGATCCGCGTCGTTTGCTTCAAATGCCTCCGTTCCACGTAGCAAAATACACACACACACACCAAACACATACACGTTTCTAGTAGAAACGGAAGTACGATGGACTCGTGTGGTTCAAGTAGATCCGCGAAAATCGAAGGGAAAATCGCTCTTTCGTGGACTTTCTGCATAGATATGTGAAATTGGGAAAAAAACATCAAAGGAAAACGAACGATCCTTACCGCGTTTCAAATCTTTCGAACCTTTGGAACGGAGGCGATCCTGTGCCAAACGAGAGTAGCACAGGAGATATTCATTCGAGATATTCGTGGAAATTTGAAAACGTTTCCGTGACTCGCTTATTTTGCACATCTCTACACACACACACACACACGTTCTTTTGCAAATGTTGCAACAATAGATAGCTAGCTCGTTAAACGTTTGTGAATTCACAGAATTTCTTTTTAATCGATAGTGTAATGGAATCATTGCATTCGTAATCGTATAATATAGGATGGAGCGAAGATCTCTTTTTATTATCTTAATAATATTTAAACCGTTGAAGATAAATTCTAAATTTTACAAATAAATTTTCAAGTAGAGATAATAATATTTCTTCCTATGAAATAATTTTTAT